TTTACCCAAATCATCACAAGGCTTCTTCAGTAACAAAGGAACGACGTAACGACCGTCAGGTTTACGTGACACAAGAGTAGAGTAGAGTTCTTCGCATTTAACATCTTCGGGGTTCGATATAAATGTTTTCGGTGGTTCTTCGACCTCCCAAAAACGCTTGACCACGTCATTCAAAAGCCGGGTGGAAGTAACGAGGGAAGAAACCATAGGTGGAGGGTGACAGCTGTGATCAATTTTGCCAGTGAGCACCCACCCAAAGACACTATGTAGAGCGACTGGTAAACCAGGACCTATCTCTAGGCGTTGGCCATCATAAATTTTATGGAATAGCTCTGCGCCCAGCAGCATGTCTATATTAGTGGGTTTGTCGAACTGTTTGTCTGCTAAAACTAGATGTTTAAAATTTTCACGAACCTCAGAAGGTACTTCTACAACAGGCATTTTACTTGTTAGTGTATTCATTATTATGGCATTAATAGTGAAGTTTGGACTATCAGAATCCGTTGGCATTACCACGCATGAAGTTTCACCCTTTATTTGATGCACTACATTTTGTCCTAAACCTGCCACAGCTAAATTGCAGCGGCGAATGGGCAACCCTAAACGTTGAGCGAGTGATAACGTCATAAAACTATCCTGAGCTCCACTGTCAATAAGTGCGCGGGCGGTAGTATACTGAGCGGCAGCACCGCAACCACGCACGCGCACTACACATGTGCCGAGCAAAACGAGAGCACGACTATGACCAACGTGAGCGCTGGTAGTCACGGAGCTCGCAGTCGAGGTCAAGTCGTCAACCGTAACTACTGTTTTGTCGCTAGTCTTGTCAGTGGAGCAACACGGAACAGCAGCAATGGTAGTGTTATCGTGGAGCAACGAATGATGACGCTCACCACAAGTTGAGCATGTAATTTTTGAAAAACATTTTTTTGTATTATGATTTAAACGTAAGCAATTCATGCAAACATTTTTATTAGACACTAAGCCGTATCTTTCAGAAATATCAAGTTCTTGAAATTTCGGACATTTGAAAAGCGCATGTGCCGCCCCGCAACATAGACAATCAGCTGTTTTATTTGAAGCATTTGAAGCTATGGCAGTGTTCGACGGCAACGATATAGATTTATGGTATTGTTTATTATTGTGACTATTTCGTGTCCCGGTGGCACGTACATTATTTTTATACAACTGTCCCGATTGAAATCCAGACCCGGAACAATTGCCCGATTGACTAACCTCTAGAACTTTAACATAACTTTGTAAAAAAATTAACAAATCAGAAAAGGTAGGAATTTGTTCCCCGTTTTGCATTTCAAAACGTTTACGTGTATCAGAATCTAAAACACGCGCAGCTAAATAAAATAAAATGAACTCATCTAATTTCTTAATTTTCATAGCTCTAAGAGCATTAACGGTTTCATTCAACACATTGGTTAAATTACGTAAATCGGCATAATTACTGGACTTCAAAGGAATGAAGCAACAAATTTTATCTAAGTACGTTGCGGCCAAAATTCGTTTGTTTTGGAACCGCTCGATAAGTGCGTCAAAAACAATTTTGTAGTTATCAGAGGTAACAGGCACTCCTTTTGCGATTGACAACGCTGAACCCGAGAGACACGTCAACAAATAATGAAACTTTTCGATTGACCTTATATTATTGTTTTCATGTACAAGTGTGGAAAATGTATCGAAGAAAGTTTGCCAATGTTCAATGTTTCCATCAAATTTCGGCAGCTCGAGTTTCGGTAAGCGTGCTTGCGCGTATGGTTTCGTACTATGGTATGAAAATCCGGAAGTCAAACTCGGATCCGGGTCGCATTGCGGATCGGCTCGAGTGCGACCCTCGCTTAGAGCAGCCCTGGCGGCATCGACGGTGTAGTACATGTCGTCAAACGCAATCACGGGCTTCATATCAATAATATCGTCCGGCTTTAATTTTAACTTTAAATCGTTTATTTGATTGGTATACTCCAAGAATTCTTTACGCACTAACTCAATACGCTTAAACCTAGACTCGAATTGAGAGGCAGAAGTTGTATCCGTTTCGAAATTCTTCGATAAATCACATAGTATTTGAATTTCTCGAAATGCATATTCCCTTTGAATAGTAAGCAACTTGAGTTGTCTCTCAATTTCACTAGCGTTCGACTTTGCCTTATCTGTCATTATGTTTGAAATTATAACCAATAAAACCGTAAATTTAAAAACAAACCTACTTTTTAACTAATCAATAATAACGCTATTAATAGGTATATATTATAACTACACCCATTGAAACAACGTATCAGTATTGAATATGTGGAGTATAATTATTCACCTACTACCTCCGTGTTTAAGTACAACGAACGGCACATAACGAGTAATTGTAATTTATGCAATCGACAGAGAATAATTCTCCCTAATTATAAATTTATATATCAAATAAATTTAATAAATTACTTCGTATTACCTATATCGTTAAAATTAAGGCAATTAAAGAAGTACCTTACCAAATTTTACTTGTAAAAGTTTTTTTTTTAAGCTGAATTGCTATGAACTGTAATTTTGGAGTTTTCAAATGAATTGAACCCAAAATACCATAGGAAATTCGCGCTCGTACGGACCACTTTGTTAACTGTTATAATAGAAATTGCGCTGATTGAACTCCGTTTTTGTAGTAATCGCGACAATTCTACTTGAAATAAAAATAAAAGAATTTGATTTGGAATTGCTACTTAATTTACCTACAGTGGGAGAAAATTAGTCTGGCCCACCAGGAAGGGTAAATGAAATAGGTAAACTCACGGTTAGCGGCAGCGGCGATCAACTTCAACTTGGCTTCAACAATATCTTCGGATGTGGAAGGCTTCAGTCTTCCTTGACCACACTCCTACGTGATTATATAGTCTATGCACACAGCTGGGTCCACCCGGCACACTCACTAACTCTTAATTACATTGATTTTATTTTGGAAGGTTTAGACAAGAACAGCCATTACCGATGCAGTTCGTCTTGAGTCTTGATTACATGTGTCATGTGTGTATCGATCGCGTCGACTTCACTTGCAGACGCTTTTATTGTAGGCCAACAGATGGCGCCATAAGTTTTGTTTTGCATATAATTGGAAGGAAGGATGTGATAGAAAAGTAAGGAAGGCAAGCCAGTACAGTTATTCTATTATAATTTTATTTTAAATGACACTTAATTTTAATAGACGCTAGTAATTCATTTATTGGTATTGGTTAATCAATAATATAATCTGTTTATCAATAATGATATACTACCAAAGGAACTTTGTTCCAACCGAGTGCGCCACGACACTCACGCATGTTTTTTTTTTTAATTATGTTTCCGCAATCAAAGCTTAGATTTTTTTTTAATAAATTTTGAATACAATTAATTTCAAGCGCTAATTATTCAGACTTAAATGAGGGGAAAACTAGCTCTTCTAGTTTTTTTCCCCTTATTTTACGTGTGTTATAAATATTAATTTTCTTTATATTCCTCAGTATAGTGATGTTCTATGTTTGATAATATTTAACTAGTGTTTATATTTTTATCTTTGGAATTCCCTAAAAATTTTACAAAGCGAATTTGAATGCAATTTACCTGTTTTAAGTAAGTACTAAATGTGCAGCTATTAAAAATATTGTTAATTAAAGACTAAATTAATACATAATAAAATAAATAATGGAACAAGTTTACTTACTATTTTTTGAACTTGATAGAATTAGACCTTAATTTTGAACATACTTCTTTAATGTGTAACTTCCAATTAAAACTACTCTCTACCAACAATCCTAAATATTTGTAATTAATTACAAATTCTATTTTGGCACAATGACATTACAATTTTCCCCTGTGTAAGCACTCATAGTCATGCCCCATGATACTTATTTCTTCATAGCGTACATTTTCAGCTAGCTTGTTTTATCGAGAACGTACATGCATACACTTGGTTTTTAAAGAAGCACCTAGAGATCTTAGAGCAGTAGGTAAATAAATAGAGTAATAATTGGCCGTCAGGTCATATGAAACTGGACCTCAAGTAGTAAAACTATATTATTTTCTTTACTTATCATAAGCCAGAGCTTGACTAAAATTTCACCAGGTGGTAAGTGGTGATGATTCCGTGGATGCTAAATCACACTGTCTCACCGTAACAAAAGTCTGTACACTCTTACCTTGAATATGACTTTATTGTAATCCGAACGACTGGACAAAGAATTTAACAGAAGGACAGACGCCTGCATTATGAAAAACGAAGCAAACTGTTTGGTTAGAATGCGTGGAATATCGAAAATAAATAAAAGGCGTTACATCTTACATTGAAGTGTGAGGTGTGAGGAAATAATAAGGATATTAAAACCACGCAAAAAATTAAAAATTATGTGTTTACCTAGTGTGAAAATCAAAACCCGCCCTCCCTAAATTGCGAGCACTACCACCGTCAGCGTCACCACTAATCCCAACAACACTGCACTAGGGAAATGGCAGCTGTTTTGGTTCGTCGCCGTAGGTCAACGAAACTATATTATCAGCGGTGTTGTCTTCCATAGTGTAGTGGTGTTGGGATTTTTATGCAGATCTTACGTATTTAATTTTGGTATCTTTAATGCGTTTTTGTATGAATCACCCACCGCCAACACGGTCATATATAAGTTAACAAATTTGCCAGATATCCACCATTTCATTGAATTGTGCGAATTACTTCTGTCGTAACTGAGCGTTCAATCGCGTAATTGTAATTTAATAAGATATTTTCTTACATTCATAGGTTTTTAATTTAGAATATAGATTGTTTTATTTATTTAAGATTTAATATGATTAAATGAAGATCGCGAACAGACTATTAATTTCATTATGTGCTTTATAACAAATATTAAATGACTTAAATATTTAAATACGATTTTTACCTGAGTGACTTAAAGCGTAAGATGTGTTAGTTATTTTTGTAGGGTCTATAGTGTTGGTGATTTGTGAATTATTGTTTTTTTTTTAATTTTAAATAATTCGTAATGAAACTGTACTGGACAATATTATGGTCTCTATGGGCAGCCAGACTTTTACAGCAGCCTACCGTCGTAGTTCAAGTAAGTGGCGGACTGCTACGTGGCACCATCGCTCCAGACGGCACGCATGCCCAATACTTGGCTATACCGTATGCAACGGTACGGCCAAGGAACAGATTTCAGGTTCGTCCCTATGACAAACGATGGTTTTGTAAGTTGTGTAGTATAGTATACATTTAAAAATAATATTATACTAGGTGTTATATATATAAACGTAAATTATTACGCGCTGAATTATTAAGTCCTGATTAAGAGCGGTTAATTGTTTACATTTCCAAAATATTATTTCCTTCACATCTTCAACAACGATAGGGTGGAGACTGGCCGAAAGTCTACTTGTTCGATGCTGGTCCCTTCCATCATCGGACAACACAGGCGGAGTTTCCTCTTAATACTTAAACTTTTTATCGGGGGATAATGCAGTCTTAATATAACTAACCAGATAATATTTACCTGATAAGCGAGTCGTCTGACATTGACAGGTCGACAGTACAATGTCTCTCCTCACGCTCGATGTGTGTAAAAATGCCGCTGTGATCTAAGAATTTTAAGTAGAATTTTTTATTTTTCATTAAATTTCTTTAACTTTTGAAAACATAAACTTATTATTGTCAGATATTTTAATCATTGCGTGCCATGTGCCAGACGTTAATTTTAATTAAAAAATTTCAAAATGTTTTAGTATGGCTGTAATTTTATCACAATATTATTTAAGTATAGACCAATCACACATATTAGACACATATTAGAGACTTAGGCGCCGAAATGGTCCCGGAACTTAATTTTCGCAATCACATTTTAAATATTTGTAAAAAAGCTTTTAGGAATCTCGATTTTATCTTAAGTGAGTGCAGGAACTTTTGTAATGAACTTACTATTAGAATTTTATATAATGCTCTCGTAAGAAGTCCACTTGAAACGAATGCCATTATTTGGAATCCACATGAAAGCAAATATAGTGTCATGATCGAAAAACTTCAAAATAAATTTACACGATTTTTATATTTCAAGCAGTATGGAATCTATGCTACTTTTCCACTCATGTTTCCGAGTCTATGTGTACTGGGTATGGTCGGTTACAGCCGCCTGAGTGTGAGGAGAATCGCATCGCGCTTATTAAATATGTGTGGAACGTATTAAGTGGATGGATACATTACCCAAATGTGCCCTCTGCTCTAAAGCTACGTGTACCTGATAATTACCTGTGTTCTCGTCGCCGCGCCACGTTACTCCTCGTGCCCACTGCTAGGACGAAGTTGCTTTAGAATGTACCATTGACACGTGCCATACACTACGTTAATATCGTCTCACAGGATATTGACATATTTACATGTAGTCAGACGAAGTTCACAATTGCAGCTTACAAATGCGTTGAAAATTGTAATTTTTTTAATTAGTATTTTATATTATAATGATGTTAATATTAGAAACAGAAACAGAAACTTTTTATTCAATATAGATTATAAATAATACTTACTGAAAGTCACTCTTTTGTATAATTACCACTGCTTCGGAAAAAATACCACTGTCCTGGAAAGAACCAGCAAAAAACCCAGCGAGACTTTTTTTTTTAATTAACAGCTTACAATCATGTATGTTACACAAATTAACAACACAACAAATTATAAATAGCTTTGTAGCGATCACTTCATTTCCAGGGGTTATTATCATCTCTAAATTCCTTAATATTATACTCGTAATAACCCTTTTTATACAAACTTAGTTTAATAAAGTTTATGAACTATGAGCAGGTCAAATTTAGTATATTTTCTGGAAATTTGTTGTAAAAGCGTATACATGGCCCCAAGAATAAATTACTGACTCGATGGAGTCGAGTAACTGGTACTAATAGCTTGTGTCTGTTCCTAGTATTTACAGAATGAATATCACTTATTTTTGTAAAACTACTTTTATTTTTGTGTACGTACATTACATTTTCATTAATTTATTGAGAGGCCAAATCATAAATTGCTCCTATGGCCCTCTTCTGTAAAACAAATATAATTTCAGTGTCAGCTGCTTGTCCCCATAGCAAAATACCATACGACATTATGCTATGGAAATAGCTAAAGTAAACTAGTCTAGCTGTTTCAACACTAGGTAGACTTCTAATCTTTTTTACGGCATATGCTGCAGAACTAAGTCTGCTTGCTAGTTTTGATATATGGGGGCTCTATTGAAGCTTCGCGTCAAGTGTGATTCCAAGAAAAATGGTGGTATCTACAAGACTCAGTTTCTCGCCATTTAAAATTACATAAGTATTTAATTGTTTGACATTTGGAGTCATAAATTTCATACATTTCGTTTTAGTGCCATTTAAATGCAAATTATTAACATTGAACCAATTTACTAATTTAGATATACCGTTATTTACTTCGTCATATTTTAGAAATTGTCGACTTAATTTGAAAATTAAAGAAGTGTCATCTGCAAATAATACTATATCATGGTTATCTCCTACTATGTAAGGTAAGTCATTAATGTATACAAGAAACAGAAAGGGGCCCAGAATTGAACTTTGAGGCACACCCATTTGTACCATCGACCCGTAAGAACTCATACTGTTAATGACAACTTTTTGCCTTATCTTACTTAAATACTTAAATATTATTATTCATTATAAATTATTTTATAGTCATTATTTATAAGTCTCCCCGTGTAGTGGCGGTTAAGGATATCCACTACCCCATATCTTCCCGTGGGTGTCGTAAAAGGCGACAAAGGGAAACAGGCAGGAGATGGGCAGCAGCATCTTCCTGATAATAGCCAAAAATAACAATAAAAAAACTGCGGTTGCCAACCCGCTCGCCAAGCGTGGCAACTATGGCAATATACCCCCCATGAGCAATGACAATAATAAACGGCCCCCAGTCCCCAGCGGCCCCGCTATTCCTGGCTACGGTGGTGACCATGGTAACGGCGGGGCAGGGGGTGCTAAGAATCTCCGGTGGAGGTTCGGTTGCCACCTACGACGACTCGACCTGGCAACATACAACGCACGCACCCTGAGGACTGACGAGAAGATTGTGGAGCTGGAAAAAGAGATAGACAAGTTACGCTGGCATATTATAGGATTATCCGAAGTCCGAAGAGAGGGGGAGGACACGGTAATCCTCGAATCCGGCAACTTGCTCTATTACCGGGAGGGCGACCATCTGTCCCAAGGAGGTGTCGGATTTATCGTCCACAAGTCTCTCGTTAACAACGTTGTAAAGATTGAGAGTGTGTCGACGAGGGTTGCATACCTTATACTCAGAATCACCAAACGGTATTCGCTGAAGGTCATACAGGTTTACGCACCAACCTCGGCACACCCCGATCAGGAGGTGGAGGAAATGTATGAGGATATCTCTAGAGCCATGCATTCCTCCAAAACCCAATATACGGTGTTAATGGGAGACTTCAATGCAAAACTAGGCACAAGAGAGAACGGTGAGCTGAAAGTAGGGAAATTTGGAATAGGGCAACGGAACCCAAGGGGCCAGCAGCTGGCCGACTTCATGGAGAAAGAGGGACTCCTTATGATGAACTCTTTCTTCCAGAAGCGGCCCCACAGGAAGTGGACCTGGTCGAGCTCCGACGGTTCGACAAAAATGAGATTGACTTCATTATGACGACCAGACGACAACTGTTCAGTGATGTCTCAGTGATTGCGAGGGTGAAAACCGGCAGCGATCACCGAATGGTTAAAGGCACACTGAACCTAAACGTTAAGTTGGAGAGGTCTCGTCTAATGAAGTCAACGCTCCGTCCCCCTCGTGCTCTAATCCAAAGTCCCGAAACCTTTCAGCTCGAGTTACAAAACCGTTTTCAGTGCCTAGAATACTGCAATGAAGTGGACGATTTGAATGACAAGCTCGTGGAAACTGTCCATGCAGTCGGAGCTAAGTTCTGCAAGACCCGCCGCAGAAGAACACAAAAACTCTCCGATCACACTCTTAATCTCATGGCTGTTAGACGGGAGATGAAGCTACATTCTTCAACAGATTTAACAGCATACAGGCAACTGAACAGACAGATCTCCAAATGCATGCGGCGGGACTTACGCAACTTCAATACAGCTCGTATTGAAGAAGCGATCGAGCGGAACCAAGGCTCCAAAGTCTTTGCCAGAGATCTGTCTACCAGAAAGCGCCAACTGTCAAAGCTGAAGACAGAATGTGGCAGCATCGTTTCCGGGGCACCTGAGATTTTGAGTGAGATTGAGAGGTTCTATGGGCAGCTGCACACGTCATCGTTGGAGCCGCACGCAAGTGTGAGTAACGATCCGAGAGCGAGTCTTATCCGACATTATTCCGATGATATCCCGGACGTCAGTCTGAGCGAGATTAGAATGGCTCTCCAGCACCTTAAAAACGGCAAGGCCTCAGGCGAGGATGGAATTACAGCGGAGCTTCTGAAAGCGGGTGGAAAACCGGTACTTGAAGTCCTTCAGAAGCTCTTTAATTCTAAAACACCGGAGGCGTGGAGCAGAAGTGCGGTGGTCTTGTTCTTCAAGAAAGGCGACAACGCTCTCTTGAAGAACTACAGACCGATTTCCCTTCTGAGCCGCGTCTACGTGCTGTTTTCGAGAGTCATTACGAATCGTCTCGCGCGCAGACTTGACGACTTCCAGCCTCCCGAACAAGCCGGTTTCCGAAAAGGCTTTAGCACCATAGATCACATACATACCCTTCGGCAAATTGTACAGAAGTCCGAGGAGCACAATTTGCCACTATGTCTGGCGTATGTGGACTATGAGAAAGCCTTTGATTCCGTCGAAATTTGGGCGGTGCTGCAGTCCCTTCAGCGATGCCAAGTTGACTGTCGGTATATCGAATTGTTGAAGTGCTTGTACAGTAGGGCTACGATGGCTATCCGAGTACAGAACCAGAGTACGAAACCTATCCAATTGCAGAGAGGTGTAAGACAGGGTGACGTCATATCCCCGAAACTCTTTACCGCTGTATTGGAAGATGTTTTCAAGCTTCTGGACTGGAAAGGGTACGGTATCAACATCAATGGCGAGTACATCACTCACCTTCGATTTGCCGACGATATAGTCCTTATGGCAGAATTGCTGGAGGACCTAAGCACTATGCTCAATGACCTCAATAGTGTTTCCCAACGGATAGGTCTTAAGA